TCAATATTATTTTCATGTATTCACTTATTCAGGGCTTATTTTTTTATTGTATACCTGCTATTTGTCAGACTCTGGTCTAGGTGACAATGATAAAACATTGACTGGCTTCAAGGAGCTTATAGAGGGCTGTAAATAAATAAGGCAGTCAGTCGAGATGCAATGTGATCACCATCCTGGAACAGGTATGCACTGAACAGATTGGAAACACATTGCAGAGAACTGCTTCTCACTTTTCCTGGATTGGCTGTCTTTTCCCTCCTCAATTTCCAGGTGTTCCTCTGTGTGTTAACTGATGGGTCCCCTATTCTCTTAACTCTGTTGCTTTTTCCACTTATTTTACTCACCTACCAAGTTTTATGAGTAATAAAAAGATTCCGAGTTGCAACCCTAGAAGGAAGTTTTCATAAAAAGGAATTCAGCAACTACAATATAAAGGCAAAAAGCAGATAACAAAATTTGTGTTTTTCTTAAATTTCTTATTTTACTTTTAGTTTCTCTGACTTCCAGGTCTAAAATCAGCTATAGTATAATAGCTGTAAGTATATACTATATATATACAAAGTATATACTCTTTGAAGGCTAGTGTTTACAGGGTTTGACATCAGGGTATGTTCTGCAGAGAAACAATGTAACAGGTATATATTCCTTTTCTGGAACTTGTCACTTACCTACTCTGCTTATAGAACCTGATGTGTATTAATAAACACAGTTTACCTCTTCATGAACTACAGATAACTGATAAGAACCAGCTTTGGAGTTTCATCTGCTTTCTCTGAGCAGATTAATAGAGGAGTCTTCCCCAGATGTCAGAACCAGGACATTCATTGTTACCTTTATAGTAACTATATTCAGGGTATCTATATAATTTATCATCCAAATTAAGTCACTTTGCCAGCAGTGAAGGAGGGTGCCATTAATATTTGCTCCAGGAAAACAGGTGTAAACCAGGCCATCCTGGGTAAAACTTGATGAATGTTTACCCTGTGTATAAAAAAATTGCTTACATGCATTGGGTGACTTGCTATGGGTTTGGTGCAAACTCAGGGCTGCTCCAGAGAGCTGGTGACGGGGCTGGCAGTCAGCCCTGTCCCACGCAGGCAGGAGGATCGAGTTGCTAACTTCCAGGACTGCTGCTATCGATTGCTTGGTAAGTTATAAAACTCTGCTTCTCTCTATAGAGGCTTGCTTTATTTATTTATTTATGTATTTATTTTAATGATTAGAAATTCATTTCAGAGCACTGTCTCATGGTATAAAGGGAAAAATAGACATTAATGTCAAATTAAGTCATTGTTGTGCATTTACATTACCAAATGATACAGAAAGGTTATAGTATACTGTGAATATACAGAAAAATAAATTTTGTATATCTCCGCTATTGTAGCACACTTAGTATATTTATTATTCTGTTTTCCCTGGAATCTTAGGTCAGTTTTTGCATCAGTTTTAGTAAAACTAAACTGTTGTATATTATTTTATATAACAGTAAATTATGAAGATAATTTTACATTTGATGCTTCATCATCATCAACTGAATGCATGTATCCATTGCATCATATGAATATATCATAGTTTACTTAAACAAGCTATTACTATGACTTTGAAATCTGGTTACCATAGGTAATACTGTGATAAACATCTTTATGACAGTTTTTTGTATCATTTGATTAGTTTTCTTCTTTGTGAGAAAATAAGATCATATAATTTTATTTATCTCTGTATTTTAGCACTTAGCACATATGTAGTACATAGTATTTTCTCCATAAATGCATTAAAGTATTACATTGAATATTGAACATGCACATTAGAAAATCTTTCTCATCAAAGGGGAGAGTGTGTGTGATTCCTGGAGATTATTATTTTAACCACTCAGAACTCCAAGGTAGAGACAAAGTATCCTACCCCTGCACAGTGCCAATGCATTTCAAAGTACTTACCAGACTTTTTGCCTGTATTTATGAGTTAGAAAAACTCTAAATCCAACCACCCTTCTTTGTTTAATAAAGATAAGATGAGGTGTGGAAAATTCAAAAGGAAGAGCAAAGCAAGTCCTCAAAGTAAATCAATATTGTCTTAAATCCTGGCTATATGATTTAATAGTGTATGTCCTGGGAATTCTGTAAAGTTATTTTTATCTATAAAATAGGAGTTTTACTATTTATTTGAAAGAATTACTTGGATTAAATGATAGAGCCTGTGGGAGGAACTTAGCACAAAGGTCCCGAAACAGGGGAGGCACTTGATGGTGCATTATAGGCACTCGGTGGGAATAACGATAAAACGTCAGTCTTTAAAATAAACGGTAAGGGCACACGTTCAAGAGTCTAATGTAGTAACACTAATGATGAAAGTATGTATATTCAAATTATTGAAAATGGGTCCTTAAGCATGAGTCTAGACATTCTCATAGTGTTATGAAAAATCATAATTCTTTTCCCCCAAAAAACATTCACTCACTCAACATAAGTAAATGTTACAAAAATCTTTCAGCCTATGAAAGACATTGAGATGTGGGATATGTCTTTCCCACATGAACTATTTCATTTAAAAATATGAACTATTTTTAAAATTCTGAGAAGTAATTTTAATAACTAAAATAATACCAATATGATATTCAAGGTAATTAATGAATAGTTTGAAGATAATATTAAAAGCTTGGAAGGAAGATATGGAAAAGTTTACTTTAAGATACATTTTCTCTGTTTTTGCCAACAATGAGGAAAGATAGCTTTGTAATATCACTGAGGTCAATTTTCATTACCTCTGACCTAGCTGGAAAAAGGGAATATAAATCACTATGAACATGTGGATTTTGGAATCCAAGGATGTTACTATTATAGAAAAATACAAATATGTAAAAGAAATCATACAACTGTACCAGTAGTATATACTTTTTGAAGTTAAATATGCACAACAATTAATATAAATGAGCTCTTCATTAAAATTCTGTTTACTAAGTGCACCCTAGTATTTTACATAGAAATAAAAATTGTACACTGTGCTAATAAAATAGCCTTAAATCTTAGTGGCTTACGACGCTGTTTATTTCTTGCTCAGACTGCATGTTGTAATGTGTCTGTCCATGTTATGTTCCCTCTGGAAGTGAGGTAAGGGAGCAGCTTCTGTTGGAGTATGGCTGGTCTTCTGACAGAAGGTCTCAAGCTACAGGATGAACCACGCACTGACATTAAAACTTCATCTCGGTAGTGACATGCATCCCATATTTTCCATTAGTCAAAGCAAATCACAGGGCCATGCAGAGTTCAGTGGGACAGGGATGTATAATCCTCTCAGGAAGGAGCATTTCAAGTCATATGTCTAAGTTAGAAGTGAGTGGAATGAAAAGCATAATTTTCTGACAGGCAGGAGAGGAGAATGGAAAATAAAATACACTCTATTATCTGTTGATAATACCTATCCACAGAATTATTGTGGAGATGAAATGAGGTAGCAAATACTGAAAAGGTTAAGTTTTATAATGTTGATTTATACTCATTAAGGATAAATAGGGTGGATATAACATTCTGGTAATCATTTTTTCAGTATATACATATATAAAATCATTGTTATATATTTGCCTTAAATTTAGGTGATTCTATATGTCAAATGCTAAATGGGAGATGAATTAGATAAGATGTTTAGGTCCAAAGAAAATAGACCTGAGTGGATAGTGTAGAAAGATTAAATAAAGAATGTAAACTTGTGTATTCATTACTGGAGAGAAGCCAATCTTTAAAATACAGTATATGTAAATACTGGGTTGGTCAAAAAGTCCATATTTTTTCCATAAAATAAAAAACACATTTTTCATTTTCACCAATAACTTTATTGATTTGGATATTTTGGGTATGTCTGCTATCTCTTGTGTGGTATAAAGTTGATTGTTGTCAATTAAGAATAGTCTGTTACTTTTGATGAATTGCAGATGAATTTCTATATTACTGTATTTTTAATCACGATTCAGAAGTAAGCTGAATTTTTATGTTTGGTAAACCCACAGGTGTAGTTGAAAATATTAACTGGAGAGTTAGAGCTTGATTCCCAGTTTTGCTAATAAACAGGGTTGTGCTTGGTTAGTTCCCTACTGTCTTCAGTTTTTTCCTTTGTAGCATAAAGACAGTGGCTTATCTGATCCTTAAATTCTACTCTAGTCCTACAGTTTGAAAGTCATGCCAACAAATACATGTGGAGGGTGAGTCACATCCTTGATTTGATGATAAGACAATCATTGGTGATGCTTTAAAATAAGATGTCTGAGTTCTTGTGCCTTAAAAGAAGAAAGTCATAGATGTGTTCAATAGTTCAATACTTAATTTCTTTTTACTTCAGCTCTGACCCCAAATATATATGGAGGGTGAGGTACACAGTGTTGATTTGATAATAAGACAGTCTTTGGTGATGTTTTGGAATAAGATGCCTGGGTTCTTCCAACTTCAATGGAGAAAGGCATAACACATAAGTATTATGTGTTTAATATTTATTTCCTTTTATTTCAACTCTTTCTTCACTCATCTTTCCTTAAATCTTCTTCTGTTTACATGCATTTTATACATTTGACTATGATAATCAACTCCCTCTGTACTAATTTATATTTTTATTTTAATTTTTGAGTGTGGCGGGTTTATTTTCTGCGGTGGTGGACCACCCGTGGTTGTCCAGATTGCGCGCTGCACAAATCTGGGGCCATTTTCAGTGCGTAATCTCCATCGCCTTTAGCTACCATTGAGGGGGTGACCACTATTCATTTTATTATTTTAATATTATGTGCTATATTTTGGTAACAGATTCTAAACTCTTGAGTGTTGTTATTAGTATGATGGTTCATACAGTGAAGTCACTACTGTTACTAGATATAAAATACTTCCAATGAAAATATTTCAGATGTTCTTCCCCCTCTTACTATTCCCTAACAAAATTATAATAATCTTAAACTATGTTTTTTGAAATACACAATTTGGTTGAAATTTCTATCATCCTTTTTTATTTTTGGAATTATTTAGTGTTGTTGATAAAGCAGATGATGAAGATGATGAGGATTTAACAGTCAACAAAACTTGGGTTTTGGCACCAAAGATTCATGAAGGAGATGTAACACAAATTCTCAATTCATTGCTTCAAGGCTATGACAATAAACTTCGCCCCGATATAGGAGGTAAGTTTTACTTTTTCTGAGATGCAGGGGACTATGAAAACCATATTTACTGATGTTATTTTAATTACAGATTACATATTCCTTGAGTGGCTGATGGTTTGTCAGACTGCTGGGTTTAACAGGTAGTGACTGGAATGGCGCTAGTTTGAGGGGTTCACAGTCTGATGAACAAATAGGCATATAAACATTTCTGATGTAATTATTTTACAACTGCTACAAAGAAGGATGAGACAGCAAAGTTTTGATGAAACTGTCAGAGAAGTTGAGAGATATTTCATGAGTAAATATTCGAAAAGTAAGTAGGCATTCTAATTTTGAACCAGTGATACACTATTTTAATTAATGTAGAATTATAAACATGGATAGCATATTTAGAGTAGGTAATATCACTTTGTTCTTCTTTGTTAAGATTGTTATCTTTGGTCCTTTGCATTTATATACACATTTTATAATATAATAAACTTCTAAGTCTTTTCCATGAATCTTCGAAACAGAAAATATAAATCAGCAAAGATTTTATTGAGATTGCATTATATATATGGCCAATTATAGGGAAATTGAAATATTTACCTATAGAATTTTTATCATACCAAATTCATGAGCATCATATATTGCTCAAAGTATATATTTATTTTTATTGGTATTTCCTTTGAAGAAGTGTTAAATAGTATTAAATATATTTTATCAGATTGAATTCTACATATCTAGAGCTTTGATTCAAATATCAATGCATTTTAAATTATTTTTAATTTTTTTCTTTTTTTATTGTTGTTCAAGTACAGTTGTCTTCATTTTCCCCCATGACTCCCTCCTGCCCCATGAATCCCTCCCTCCCACCCTGTTCCTACCTGCCTTTGGCTTTGCCCATATGTCCTTTATATATGTTCCTTGATGACCCCTTCCCTTTTTCCTATTATCCCCTTCTCCCCTCGCCTCTGTTTACTGTCAGTTTTTTCATTATTTCAATGTCTCCAGTTCTATTTTGCTTGCTTGTTTGTTTTGTTGATTAGGTTCCATTTACAGGGGAGATTATATGGCATTTGTCTTTTACTGCCTGGCTTATTTCACTTTGCATAATGCTTTCCAGTTCCAACCCTGCTTTCCAAAAAGTAGGAGCTCCTTCTTTCTTTCTGCTGTGTAGTATTCCATTGCATAAACGTACCAGTTTTTTGATCCACTCATTTACCAGTAGGCACTTAGGTTGCTTCCAGCACTTGGCTATGGTAAATTGTGCTGCTGTGAACATGGGGTGCATAGGTTCTTTTGACTTGGTGTTTCAGTATTCTAAGGATATACTCCTAGCAGTGGAATTGCTGGTTTAAAGGCAGTTCCATTTTTGGTTTTCTGAGGAAATTTCATACTGTTTTCCAAGTGGCTGCACCAGTCTGCATTCCCACCAACAGTGTACCAGGGTCCTCTTTTCTCCACAACTTCACCAGCACTTGTTTATTTGGTTATGATGGCCATTCTCACTGGTGTGAAGTGGTATCTCATTGTGGTTTTAATTTGCATCTTTCTGATCAGTAGTGATGCTGAGCATCTTTTCATATGTCTCTGGATCCTCTGTATGTCCTCCTTGGAGGGGTGTCTGTTAAGATCCTTTGCCCATTTCTTAATTTTTTTTTTGTCTTCTTGAAGTAGAGGCCTGTGAGTTCTTTATACATTGTGGAGATCCAACCCTTGTCTGAGGTATAATTAGCAAATATATTTTCCCATACGATTGGTCCCCTTCTCATTTTGATGATGTTTTCTTTAGCCATGCAGAAGCTTTTTATTTTGATGAAGTGCCATTCATTTATTCTATACTTTATGTTCCTTGATCTAGGGGACATATTGATGAAAATATTACTGCTCAGAATATCTCAAATCTCCCTGCGTGTGTTCTCCTCTAGGACTTTGATGGTGTTGTGACTTATATTTAAGTGTTTTATCCATCTTAAGTTTACTTTTGTGTATGGTGGAAATACAGAAACAAAACATTCTACTCTACTTTCTTTCACATGTTCCCATCATATTGTTAGCATATCCTTTCTGTCTAGCACATAAGATATTCCACACTAATTTTAATCTCACAATGCAATTAACCATTTCTCCAAAGTGGCCTGGTTCTTTTTTTGTAAAAAGCTATTTAGAAACTGTGATCTGGGCACTAGGTATATTCATTAATATAGGGTGCCCTGCTTCTTGATTCTCTCAGTGGGCAGAAGTAGAAAATGTATGTGGTACACACACATTCACAGACATCTACATTTCTATATCTATGTATTATAAACTATGAATTTATACTGAGATCTCTGATTCCAATCTAAACACTGCAGGGTTCAGTCTAGCTTTCCCCCTTATTTTTAACTTCTTTTTCCAACAGTGAGATACCTAAAGGGTCAACAAGGAACATGAATAAAGAACCCATGGACAAAGACAACTGGGGGGGATTGAATGTGGGAGATCGGGGGTTGGTAGGGCAGGGGAGAGTAATGGGAGAAAAATGGGACAGCTGTAATTGAATTATAATTTTTAAAAAAGAAAAAAGAAAAGGAGACATCTGACTCTGTAGAATATCTATAGAATATTTTCTTATTTGTTCAATTATAATAAATACATAGTTTTAGAATTTTAACATGTCTATGATAACAATTTAACTTGAATAAAATAATGTATAATTATTTTTGATTTTAGCTTTACAGTGTGCAGTCAAAATATTGATCCTCAAAGTTACTTCGATTGCAAGTTCTTTTCATCCCTGTTTATTTCAGTGTGGTTACATTATTTTCAATACACTCTGGTTTGAATGTTACTGGTTTAGAGTGGAATCAGTCCATGTTTACTTTTAGTACTTGTATTGCTTTATTTTTTTTATATTTAATTCCCTGATCCATGTGTTTATTGTATGGTATGAAGTATAAATCTAATTTCTTAGATTTTATCTTTTTCTAATGGCTTTTTGGTTGACTGAGCATTATTTATTTTAAAAAAATCAATCTTTGCTTCTATTATCTGAGATAAAAACTTAATTATATTTTGTTTATGAATGTTATAAATTTATAAATGCTCATTTTATGTCCTATTATCTTTCTAGTACCTTACTGATTTTTATTGTTAATTTAAGCATTGAATATCAGAGTTTTCAATATATGCTATTATTCTATATGCAAAGAAATGATTTTATTTTTTCTTTGCCAATTCATGTGCAAATCATTGATGTTTCTCATCTAATAGCACTCACTAATATATATGAATAATAATGATGGTAGTGGGTAACTTTGCATTGTTGCAGACCTTAGAAATGACTAGTGTTTTTTATATGTATATTCACATTAAGAAATTATCTTTTGATTTTCTTGACTTTATTTTTTAATCAGGAATTGGTATTGAAATTTATCAAAGTCCTTTTCAGCATTTCTAAAAATAATTATAAGTTTTTCACCCTTAGAAATATTAATATAGTGTATACTATGAACTAAATCAATGTACATATCTGAATAAACCCACTTGGTCATCATATATTATATAGTTAATGAAGTGTTGGATTCTGTTTGCTGACATATTATTTAGTATTTTACATTGGTATTCCTGAGTAATATTCATGTTGCATTTTATTTTTGAGTACTGTCTTCATCATTTTTAGGTATCATTTTTATGTTCGTTTCATGAAAGGGAGTTTCAGTTTATTCTCAAAGGTCCAGCAATTTACTGGGCATTAGCAACACCTGGCTTTTGGAGGCCCTGTGGAATTTCATTGTGAAACCACTCAGGTCTTATCCTTTTTAGGAATAATCATTTTACTTTCTTATAAAGACCAGTTTGTTAATATTTTCTATTCTGGTAGGGCAAATTTGGTAATCTGTATTTCCCTAGGAAAATAAAACCTTTTCATCAAAGTTTTCAAGGTTATCTGCAAAGAAGTCTTCAAAGGAGCCTCTTAGGACTTTTAAAAATGAGTTATTATTTCAATATTTATATCCCTTTTGTTTCTCCTATTTTATTATCCCCTGTTTTAATCAACAAAATTAAGAATAGTGTGTTTTTTGTGTGTTAAATCCCCTCAAAACCTAGGATTCCCAATTACTAGTTGTCCTATTAACTATTTCAAAGTTTGCACTTTATTTTTATAACACTCCTTGTATTTTATTTTGTTTTAATTTTTTGTTCCTTTTCTAGTTTTTGAGCCTGGGATTTAATGATTTTCTTTTACTTTTAATTTTTGGCATGTTACTATTTATGTTTCTTTTCCTTTTCTGTACATTTTGCCTCATAAAAATAGCTGTGTTGTTATTTGGTTAACTACTTTGTGTTGTATCTTCATAATGGCTTGTGACATTAGCATTAAGAAAGAGACTTAATTTGTCACAATTAAAGCTTTTTGACTTAACATTATACTCTACTGAATTCAAGATAGTTACCCAGACTTTCTTGTTGTTTCCATTAGCCTGATAGTTTCTTGTACTTCTCATTAATTTTTGCCTTCATGAATCACTGTTTTAGCTGTTACCCTTGTGTGAAGCATATCATTAGGTCCTGCTTTGTGATCCAAAATGAAATATCTTTTTCTTTTAATAAATAAGTCATTCCCTCCATTGAAATGACTGATAGAAGTTTTTGTTCTCAATTCTGTCACAATATTTAATTACAAGTGCTATATTTCTATATGAGGTGTGGGTTCCTTGAACACTAATTGATAATTTTTATTTCAGTATTTTAGAAGTTTTATGGTTTTTGACTTGTTTACCTTTGTATATTTAACTTTCTTAATAACCTGAGTGTTTTCTTAAAAATATTTTGCTCTTTTGAAGATAAGTTGTTAGTTGTTAGCTCACAGTTACTGTCCATACTAACAGTGGACTTTTTTCTGTATTTTCTCTTCTTTACTAGATTATTTTCAGTTAGAGCATTTTCTGCTCTGCAAGGACAAATAATAGTTGTAAATTGGTTTCATAACCTATCTCAATCGTTATTTTAGTATCTACTATGCCCTCAATATGTGTTAATATGCTTACCATTAG